GTCACAGAGCAGATCATTTAGGAAGAGCCACAACAGGCTTGTGACGGGATGTATGGAGTGAAATTAGGGATATACATTATTAAATGTTATTAAGATTAATTTTACATAGCCATGACACAGCTAAATCAGACCTAATTATAGGAATCTTTTACATTAATTTATGTGAGTAAATAATTTTGCAACACTCTTATTTACTATCATTCGCAGTAGATGAATGTAATACTGTGAATGGAATCCCAATTTTCTGTGTGTGACGATGGTGTTATACATTTCTGAGAGTTTAAATGAAGGAAAATCACCACCACAAATGCATCAATGTAGGCAAAAATATGGTTGCCTATAATTCTAATACTTACCCAATAAAAAGGTTTTCCCATTTATCTGTGATCAACATGTCCAACAGTATCTAGACACCTTTTCTAATTATACAAGTTGCGCCTACTCCCAACATAAGTGATTGAACACACACAGCTTGTATACTCAATAGAACAGGATGCTTTGGAGCTGCTGCACATAAGCCTAAGGTCACCATGCCCAATGCCAAGTATCAGCTAGAGAAGTATAAAGCCCCCAGCATTGGGCTGAGGAACAGTGGAACTGCATAGAACTAACCATCCAACATCAGTACCTGACCTCACTAATGCTCTTGCAGCTAAATGCTACCAAATCCTCACAGCATTGTTCCACCATCTAGTGTAAAGCCTTCCAAGAAAAATAGAGGCTGTTACTGCTGCAAATGCAGGACAAACTCCCTCTTTGTTACTCTTGAAATTTAGAAGTAACTTGGACAAGCAGGTGTCTACAACATTCTGGACACACTGCGTACATCAGCCACAGATATACTGTGCACCTCCTAAGGGAAAGGGATGTCTTAAGGTCACTGAGAGTCTACTGGCAGCAGCTTGACTGGGAATTTATGAGATAAACATTGTCCAAAAACACAAAACCTTATCTTAAACTCAGTTTCTACCATCTGCATATGTTCGACACATTCCATCAGGCAAGAACGCTGTATGTTTAATCTGTTCCCGAAGCCACGGGGAAGACGTTCCCACCATCACAGGAAAACCCCAATTTTGTTAGACTTCATTACATTCTGTTAGACCAATTAAACCCACTGTGAACACTGCTATATTGTCTGCATCACCACAATCCATCAAAATGGATGCCAGGTGATTATTTAACCTATACTGAAGCCCTGTGTTTTGGTAAGCTCCTGAAACCATGCCCAGTCATGGTCAGGAAAGGACCAGCGTGGGACCGGGTGCATAACTTCAGCACTGCCCGTCACACAGGAGACAGATTACCATGAGAAAGATCTGTCTGCATTCCTCTGGAGCAGAGATGGCGGAGGGGGTTGGAAGACTGCTGTTAAAACCATAGTACTGACCGGCCAAAACCACACTACCCTACAGCTGCTTTCACAGCATCTCTGCCATTTCTGTCTGAAAAGTGGAAAAAAAGTGGAATTCCTTCAGCTGCGGATTTATTTCAGCTGTTGGAGAGCGTTCAGGAAGCAACAGGATTTGTGTTTTTTGGCCCTTCGTGTCATCTGTTTTAGTGGCCATTCTCATCAAAAGCATTTCTAGGCTTGTCTCTGTGGTATGGACCGCATTTGCAAACCGTTTTCCAGCAAGCGCATAAATGTCAAATTAAATCTGAGAACTGTTCCACAAAACGCACCTACAGAAAACTGTGCATGAGAGTTCAGTGTTAGTATACAACCAAGTGGATAGCTATTGTTGATATTCTGTCTCCATGATCTCACTGCGAAACGAGTGAAAATAGGGAATAAAAACAAAGGCAAATTCTAACACACCATCACTGTCATAAACTTTGTTTTGTCATTTTGTTATATTAACTTGAGTAAAAATTTCAGGTTTTTCCCTCCTCCTGTAAAGTCACCAATTTAGAGATACAAAACTTTAATATGATTGTGACAATATACAAAAAATAAACACAAAAACTATAGACATTTAATTCACAATCATACCAAATATTAAGTTATCCACTTACAATCCTACTTGCACTGAATTCAGGACAGCCAGAAGAAAGCCAGTCCCAGGGCAGAAAGCCTGCAGAAACAGAAGGCTTAACAAGCACCAAACAAAAGCACACAGAGCCAGCAAGAGGAAAAAAGCCAATCAGTTTTCAGAGTTTCAGTAAAATGTAAATGTTTTATGAGTCGTTAATGTGCGACCTCAGGTGCACACGGACAAAGCTGTTCGCTAGCCAGCTGCATTGGGGAGTTAGCACTAGACTCAGAGGAAGAACCTGGACTAGACTTGGTGGAAGGACCTGTAGATGCGACAGATGACTCATTTAGGCTATGCTCACATTACCAGGCTAGAGTGACATAAATCTCACGTTCTGCTTTAATGAGACACAGATCTGATGTTCTCAGAGCTGTGTGGATAGGCAAGTCTGATCTTTTCCAATCCAGTTTTAAGTCACTTTCAAATGTGCTCAGATAGATTGGATATACATCCGATTAAGGGCTACGTCACCTAAATGAGACTTCAGACGTCAGACCTAATGTCTTTTTTTTCTGTTTTTACTGCTCTGCATGTGTGTATTACTGCCATCATCCCACCACAGCATGGCGGCAGCAGCTTATTTTCGGTTTCTGCTAATAGCATTAAAAAAAGAAAGAAACGGGGGTGCCTGGTAACTTAGAGGTAGGAGAGGTGAACCAGCAGTGGTTGTGCCCTTGGGCAAGGCACTTAACCTCCAAGTGCCCCAGGCGGTACTGCTCTGCTGGCAATGCTGTACTATAGGCAGCAAAACGACGAAACGCAGCAGAAGTAGTAAACCATCTGACCTTTTTCACTTTCTCCCTGAATCATGAACAGCCGACAGTTGATCAGAGCCAACAATCTATACAAAGATCTATGCTTGTGCTGCTATTTCTTTCATTTATTATTGCTGTTCATAACCGACGTCATTTACAAAGTCATTTTTCATGACAGGTCCATTTACATGACACTGTTGATCAGAATGTGCGCATGTGGTTGTTTCAAGGTGCAGGTTTGTCCACACTAAAGACAGATATGGATACTAAAACACACAAATATGAATCATAAAGGCTGAAAGATCAGATCATAGCAAAAAGATGTTTTGGAATTGAGCAATAAGGTTGTAATGCAAACGTAGCCTTAATTATGGTACTAACTTCACCGGCTCACAAAAGCATGTTGAAAACACTAAGATGTCAAAAGTATTGTGTGAGGAACCAATCAGAAGTAGCGGAACAGGCTGCAAAAGGAAGGAAAGCTCAGGCTGTATCCTGGACAAAAGGCAAGTGAAAACCAGACAAAGCAATTCACTTCAGAAGAAAGTTTAACAGAGTCCTCCTTTAAACAGGCCTACTACAGATCCTATTATACAGTACAGTTCACAATGATATTCAATGTCTTGTTGATCACTGGTCTTCTCTATTTTTCCCCTCAGCAACAAAACAATAAGATAAACTGACCTAGTCTGGCAAGGCCAGTAGTGCAACCACTGATCACGTAAGCTTTAACTCAAGAGGAAACATATGACTGTGACACCACAAGTTTCTGATTTACCTGACTATTCTTTATCAAGATTTCTTCTGTCAGCTTCTTCAGAACATAATGAATCAATTTCTATAGAAGAGACCAAACAATCAAATTCTGACCATCCAATTCAGATTTATGTGAGGCATCGTTATGTAAGTAAATAGAACAGAAGAATAATCCAAAAACAAGTAATGAAAAGCAGGATAACGAAGAAAAGAAGAGCAGACTGAGTTTCTTCATCACATTTTCCTTCAGGGTCAAAGGAAAACTGACAGTAATTAACACCTTTCTATACTTCTTACATAAGCGCTCCTGAAAGGCTCTAAAAAAAGAAAAAAATGAAGGTTGTAAAATGTCAGAGAAAGGAAGGGAAGTGTGTCCCCATTGTGAAATCAACATGTTAATAGCATATTAAATCTGAGTGACCAGATGAAACTATGCCTGTGTCAACCGCATCCCCTCTGATGTGGAAAGAGCACAAAGTCAAATTGTTCATAATCCTGCTGAGAGAGCTCTGAGTAAATACATGCAGATCTTCTGTAGAATTAGCATCTTTGTGGCCATAAGCCTTCAGGAGAGACTGCCATGGCAAGCTCATTAAAGGGCTGCACATGATAAGCAGGTCAATGTTTCTCTGTGTCCTTTACCTAACTAATAGTGGCTTCATAACAATGAAGAAAAAAAAATCCAAAATGATTGTCTCTCTTATATTTTCTTCTCAGTTACCCATCTTTTTCCATCAGTCTGGATTTTTTCCACCTAGCCTGTTTATGAGATAAAGGGGGAAATAAATAGGAAGAAATGAAATCTCCGATTTCAGAATGTTTTTAAGGACCCAGAGAGAGATCTCCATAGATACTGCCTGTTAGCCAAAGACAGTTAGCCAGGAAAAAATTCGCAGAAGTCCTTAACAAAATAAATAACATTCATATTTAGACCTCATATGACAATAAATAATCAACAGATAAAGAGAAACTGACTGAGAAGGGAGATAAGACAGAAAATTTGACAGTGGGATTTCTATTAGGGATGTCTGTTTTTTGTTTTTTTTTCAAACTGAACTATTTGTTAATGAACAAATATTGATGAACAGATACTAACTGTAGAGACTGAACGATCCACCGGCTATGTATTTGTGTTGGCCGATTTTCAGCCCAAATATGCGATCAGCTCAGCTGGTCTGGAAATTCAGACCTTCTGACTTTTGACTACAGGACTAAAGGCCTATTTACACAGTGTCTGACTGCATGTTTTTTAAACACACGTATATTAATGGTGTCTCTCACACAGCGTCCTGTAAGAGGTGGGGGAACCCCCCAGTGTTGTCTTTTGGGATGTGCCCAGTGCATGCACTGCTAAAGTTTTCAAAATGTTCACATAGAAAAATGCTTCGGACAAGGTGTGAAGGTCCCACTACGTTAAAATCGCAATGTTTTGTTTCATACAAAAAAAACTTACTAAGTGTGAAAAGGCCTAACAGTCCAGCCCCACTTCGGTATCGACTATCAGCCGATCATGCTGAAGGTGATGGGTGATCGGTATCCCCCAGAAACACTGATCGGTCCATCCTTAGTTAACTGCAAGGAAGCAAAAGAAACGGGCTTCAATGGACGATGTGCCAAGATGTTTTGTCTATGTTACACTGAGGACAGAGAAATATATTACCATTTTAGGTTCTAGCTAGTGCCAGCTAATGTAGTTAGCCTAGTTACAGCTGCACTGACATTTTCGCCACCTTCCCTCAATGATGTCCTTAACAACAGGCTCACGTTCAGACTAGGGTTGTCACGATATCAGAACTATGATTTTGATATTGACACCAAGTGTAACACAATGTTCCGTATGCTCCAGACCCAACAATAATATGGCAATTCATTAATTAAAAAAACTCATTATTGTCTAAACATGATTGCATGGCATACAGAAAACTTCATCATTATAATTAATGTCTGATTTCTTAACTCATTTTTATATAAAGAAAAGATTAACAGTATATTAACAATATATTAAGAGATTATACCTTATGTTGACTGATTCTAAGAGCAAAAGACTTGTCACTGAATACTGAATGAGTTTTTTTATTTAAACGAAAGTAAAAATCATTTTTGGCACTTTTATTCTTAACAATGTCAGCAAAAAACAATGTCAGCCTGGTGACAGCTTATTTTAGCAAACAAAAGTATTTAAAAAGTTAGAGTAGTGAATTATTTGCCGCATTGCAGTATTGAAACAGTATTAACAGTAACTTTCAATACTTTGTGCAATATTCTTGTATTTTGTAGAAGCAAAGTCTAATATAAAACACAGGGTGATTCAAAAAGATTCATCCAATTTCAAAGCGCCATATTTTTACAACTGTGAGGCACCTAGGAACCAATCACATACCAACTAAAAGAGGGGGTCACAGAGTTTCTGACTGTCACCGGGAAGATGGCTCCCTTCAGTCTGCGAGGAGATGGAGACCCTTGAGCAGAAAGCGTTTTACGTTCTCCAGTTCAATAAGAGTGAATACGTCATAACTGTGCAACATGGTTTTGGTCGGCAGTGAACCTCTAACAGCTCAGAGCGTTCGTCATTGGTTCCACAACACTGGATGATCTCCGAAATCACATTGAAGGAGCTGTGCATACGGTAGCATCCGACATGCTTAATCGAGTATGGGGTGAATTTGACTATCGCATTGATGTTGTCCATTACAGCTGGAGGAGGTTCATATTGTGCACTTGTAAAATTGCATAAACTTTATGCTCATTTAAACCATTTACAGTTTACTGCAATGTTCTATAATGATTTACAAGTGAAATAAATCATTTTGTAGTCAGATGAATCTTTTTCAAATCACCCTATAATAGTAATAATAATACTATAATAGTAGTAATAATATAATAATAATAATAATAATAATAATAATACAGGCAAAACTGTCACATTTTATAGCTGAACATTAGCAATTTCAGCATGAACTGCACATTTCCCCCCTGACTTTCTGTGATACAGCATAAAAAAAAAAAATGCCCAAATAGTAGTATTTAAAACTGGCATCTGGAATGGTCGATCGAGCATGAGTACTGGGTTATATTCCAAGTTTCTACAAGACTTAATAAATACCTGGTAGATTAAAACACAAATGCATTTCATCAACCAACAAAGTGGATTTATCTCAATACAAAAGACACAGCAATAGAAGCTGCCAGAGTACAGGAATATGGTCACTTTATTGCTGCCATTATGAATATGACCTCTAAAATGACCCATCAGATTTTATCACAGGGCAAGCTAATCGTGCAGATCTTGACAAAAATTCAAACAGATTTAATCTCCAACAGGTCTAAGGTCAAAGACAAAGATCAAGCCTTTTTCAATGAACCATATTTCTGCCTGGCTTTTCCCCCCACCCAGCTTATGAAGCGAAAAACAATAATTTAAGACTTTAAGTCTTTCTAAGGACCCAGGGAAACACACACAGATTGTGCCACTTAGCTACTAAGCTAACAGATGAGGAGACGTTCTGCACTCCATGTGTAGGAGCTGTTGGAGCAACTGTGTGACTGTTAAATATTACAAAACACAGAATAGCAGGTCTGGCCAGTCGGGAATAGATGACTACAGCTCTAAGAAGACAAAATGGACAGTCAGCAGGGGAATGGCTACCACAGAGACCTCCGCTCTTCTCCTCAGAGATTATGAGTCATGAAGTGAAGAAGCCAAAAAGAGCACCATTTGAATAACACAAAGAGGTTTCAACATACAAATTTCAACAAACTTTTCTCTAAGGCTTAGCTGGTTTCTATTCCCATGGCTCTTTACAACTGTCTACATTGTTACAGTAGTGACTGGCCGTTTTCATTTGTGGCATTCAATCCTTTTTTTGCTTATGCAATTTGCCTTTTTTATCAATTTATTCTGCCAAGTTACTCTGCAGTGGAGTTAAAGGAAAAAAAACTTGCATAAGCATGTCAACATGACAATTGCACTTTTAAACCTATGGGGACTTACTGCGGTATACTGTTGACTAAACCTCTCTAAGCTCACAGCTTAGAGTAAAACATCTTTCCTACAAAACACGTCCTTTGGGAAAACTGAAAATAAATGACTTGTTTTGACACAAAAAGCAATACAATCCAGAAAACCATTTCGAAATAGCTATTATATTCCTATTCTTGGATCACAACTCTGGATGTAAAAATGTATGTAAATGACTTCCAAAAAACTGTTAGAGGTGGCGCAAAGCACAGTTGCTCCATAGTCTCCATAAACATTCATCATCAGCAGCAAAATTATTGCTGTCTTATTACACAGGACCTTGGTCACCTCAAAGACAAACCTAGCTCAATTCCATTCCTGTTTTTGTGAAAAAGTTCCCTGTAGATACAAAGAGTAGCAGTAATGATAAAATACAACAAAAAATGAAGTACAAATAAGGGTAATAAAAGGAATCTAGTGATTATTTGCAGGTAATTTAGTTATGCCTATTCCAGGCCATACAATTTGCAATATATTACCCCTTAATGGTTTGTAGACTTCTACTACTGCACTGCCTTATCCTAGGGGACAGAACATACCCCCCCACCCCCCATGTCAGAGTGTGAATAGTGTGGGTTCTAAGAGTCCCAAAGGATTCCTGTCTAAATGTCACCCTCTAACGGGCAGGAAATTGAATGGGACGAGCAGCATGGTAGGGGTTACAGTCATATCCAGCGCCTGGGAGGAGTGAGAGATTGAGAGTTCTCTGTTAGAGTGACCTCTCACCACCCAGTTATGGTCGTAGTGTGCTGTAGATCAGTGAGGAACCCCCAAAAGGAGGGCAGTCTTAGTAATGAAAACTCTAAATCACTTTTCTTAGCCCAAACTACAAATCATTAAAAGAAAAACAACCTACTAATTCACATCCAAAGGGCTGCGTCTGTACATGTTTCTCACTCTTCCTTCTTATTGTCCCCCTGTTCCTCGCTTATGAGCAAAGTGAAATATAATAGTAACTGCACAGCCAACATATCTCCAACTTCTGCCCTGAAGGCACCCATTTACTGTCACAAAGTGCAGCCCAGAGTGTCTCAGTTCTCACATTAACACTCACACCACCCTGTAACTCATGAAGTCTCGTTTTGGGTTGGGCAGTATGACATTAATATGTTCTAGTTCTATCATCCTACCACCCAGCTTGAGCCTCTCTCTTTCCTAAACTCCAAGTTTGCAAAAACACTGAACACTACTGTTTTTAAATGGACAAAAAGGTCCATCATGCAGGGCTGCAACTGACGACTATTTTGATAGTTGAATAATTTAATCTATTGATTAATGAAATGAATAATCACCTATTCGGATTATGAATCGCACAATTACTCAATGGATCTTGAATATGGTAGGTTTGATCACTCAACTTGGCCAGGAATCGCTTACTTTCACAGGAGGAGGCCATTTGACTGATTTGCAAACCACCCAACCACAAACCATCATTTCTGTGTGACATATAGGGGCAGTTATCCAAATAAACCTGCAGGAAAGAAAAGGTATGTATCGACAAGTATACGAGGATCTCATTCATTTCAAAGGCTTCAAACTAAACTCTTGAACAACTTTTAAAGACGAGATGTTGTGACAACTTTTGCAATCCCACTTTTTCAATACTTCGTAGGCTCACTGACGTCACGGAGTGCAGAGCAGACAACTGCTTGCTAAAGTTTGCTTCCTACTGAACTGATAAGAACTGAGTGAACAGTCAAATAGAATTCAACTGACAAAATTCTCATTTTTACATATTAAATGAACCGTGTACCTCAGTGGGCAAAATGTCAGTGACTAAGCATTTAAATATAAATAAAACGTAGCACAGAACATTTTTTGGGAGGAAAAAAAAAAAATCAGGTTAATCATTTATTTTAGAAAGATTTGTAGCCTGGGTTTTATTGTAAAATAGAAAACTGATCCGTGACCTATTAAAGTCAGATTGACAAGTCCATGTTTAATGGCCGTGAGAAAAGCAGGCACTTGGCTAATCCTACTAAGGCCTGTGCAGGTCCACGGGGCACAAGCCATGTGACACTTTGACAGATGTGCAGCTTTGCTCCTCACAAACTCACCAACACAAAAAGCGGGCTTTGAAAGAATGGCCCGCTCCTAAGCTTCGTCTCGGATGCCTTCACCCATGCAGCTGAATTCCAAAGGAAGGGTCAAGCCGTTGCCTGACTACAGACATCTGGGCCACTCCTTACAGAACAAAACAATTAACTGCGGGGGCTGGGGCTTCTCTCGATTCTTCCCCATGGTGAATAGACTCCAAAGCACTCCAGAATCTAGCAAGAGAACATAACCACAAGAAAGAAGGAGCACTCATTCAGCTGAACATACCGACGAGACAAGACAGATGCCTAAGCAGTGACCATAGCGGTGGAAGTTATCTTGGAGAAAGGTGAGCAGACAGTTCCCCGTGTTGTTATTTTACTCCAGCATGGGGTTGTCCATTCATCATGGAGGCCCAGTTCAGCCTGTGTGGTCTGCTAGTACTCCTGTTCCTCTGCCCAAAAAAGCCCTGGTTGTTGGGTGAGGTTCAGCAGGAGGTGTAGAGTTATGCTTTTGTGTGAGGTCCGTGACATCACTTCATTTCCTGCTAGCATGTTTCCTTAAAAGGGGCTGGCAACCTTTCGAATGTCACATGCCAGTTTTTAACGATGTATAATTCCTTTAGGTCTTGCATGCCAACTGTCATTTTTCGCCATGCTGTTCCAACCACTACAAGTGCATTATAGCACGCTTGATGCGCTGTACTTGATGCAAACACAGTTGGCACCAGAAGGTGGTTTAAGTTGGGGGTGCTAAAATTTTGCACAGCATATATGTGACATACACAGTGACGTCATGCAAAATGATGAGACAGGTTTTTTGGGAGGGGATAATATACACAAAAAAGAATGTGTCATAATGCTATAATATAACAATAAAAGCAAATATACATGAATAACTGAGACATCACATCACTGATGCATAACCCAACTTCTCTGCTCTCTCTCCTTGTAAATGAGCTCAGCGGTGACCAACCAGACTGCTGATATGTGGAACAGTAACAAACTTAGTTATGCCTATACTTCAGCAAGTTTAATACTCAAACACACACAGGAGATAAAAGGTTGAAAAAACAATCAATGAATTCAAAATGAGGGACATTAAACACAATACGAGGCCACTCTATTGTTCATAAATAGCCTACAACTCTGCATCACTCTGGACCCCTAAAAATGCTTTTGTTTCAGCAGCACACCACCAAAGAGACCAGCAGTTGGCGAGGGAAGTGATCCAGCTTTCGTAGCGCTGTCCAATTACTTTGTTGTGTGTTCTGGACATTACTGCAACTGCAATTTAAATTGTAATTATTTTATGCAAATTATGGTCCAGGTCTATTGTTTTGGCCAATTACACAACCAAATCCATTTTTTAGCTTGACAACAGTGGATTTAAGTGTGCCAGACTGACATTTACTTGTGGTCTCATTTGTAAGCAGTTTTATCAGGTTACACTGCTGCACTTACAACCTGTTATAACAACTTTGATTACAACATAAACCAGAATAAAAATTGTAGCTCTTGTTTTAACTCTGTACTCTTTCAAATTCTGATTTTGACATAAAACTAGGCATGTGCATCCCAACTAATCTTGAAATCTGAGCATCCATCAAAGTTAATGAACAGTTAACCGCAGGAAAGGAAAAAGCAACAGCAAAATGGAAAAAATGGTCAAAATTAGCGAAGGGCTGTAGACTTACTTTTTAGATCATAGCACTGGATGTAAAAATTTGAGATCACTTTATTATTAAAAAATAGCCATAGGAAAGCTGCAGGTTTTCATGTCAGATGAGTAACAGAACCTGCCTCTCAAAGGAGCTAATGAGCTAACACTAACAAGTAGTACAACACCTACTGCTGGACTAGTCACCTTCTACACACGGTCTTTTCTAATCCGTGGATAATGTGTCAGCCTCCTCCTTCACAGTCACGTCCTTAATAACATGAATTTGGTAACACATTCACTTTCAGAAACTTGTGTTTTCAGTAGCAAAGTATAAGATTATTTAATTACTCGCAAAACCGCCACATTTTACATTTCTGTTAAAACATGAAATCAGCATTTCACTACTGGCCAGTATATTTTCACTTTCCCTTGACAGAATGTAACAAATACTTGAAAACTGAATTCAGTATTTGAATACTGGCATTTTAAACAGTTGACTCAGTATTCTGGAACCCTATGCACATCACTGTAAAATGACTCATCTTTAAGCCTTACCCTGTTGTGATGAAAATGTAGCATTACCTTAAACAATGCAGTTTTAAAACACATTTCACCCTAAAACAAGAACACAGAGGTCTTTACTAGGCTCAGATAAGTATTTTTATCTTTGGCAGTGGCAATTAAGCAATACCGAGTCCCAAGATAAACTAGCCAATTTCGGAAACTCAGGAGTAACAGAAATGGTGAAACTGGACTGTTTGCTGTACCACACTGTCCACACCAAGCATTCCAACATTAGAAACTATCTTAGAACGATAAACAGTGAGGCTAGGGGAATGCAGCAAAGGTCCTTTAATTGCACGCATGTGTGAGTGATGGTCCGAATGTGTGGTAAGAATGCATGTTGTAGGGGTGGGAATCTTTAGGCACCTCACGATTCGATACAATTACGATTCAGAGGGCTGCGATGCGATTATAAAACGATTATCAATGCATCTCGATGCATCTTTTTTTCTCTCTATACAGGATCTCTATCTTCCTACTGTCTAAAAACTTGGTAGTTTTAAAGCAAAGTATTTGTAATGATCCATAATGTAAATGTATTATGGATCTTTACAAATACTTTGCTTTAAATATCTAAAATATCTTTTATTAATAAATCAAATGGAGGTGATGTGTCAAGTGAACTAGAAGGCTCTCAGTCAGAGACGCTGCTGCCACTCATCTGTGATAAAATGCGCTGTTACCCTGAAATAACATCCAGTGGTAATGGGTGTCCACGCAGCACGTTACAGCCATCCTTCCCGTTTTCTTTAGTCATTTTATAACTTCAGTTTTGGTCTCGTTGTAGAGAGGGGGAGGGGTATTTTCGAGACTGGATGCTGAATCTCGGCTCCAAAGTGTGCAGCATAACGCGAAAGCCCTGGTTCGCGACTGAGAACAGACAGCAGACAGCAGGTCACATAGCCCCGAGGTCAAGCCTCGCCAGTAGTGAACGAAAAAAACAGATTAAGACGAACATTTGGAGGACTTATTCGCATTTATAAGCAGCGCGGTTGGTTAAATCTGCAACGAGAGACTGTCTTTCTCTAAAAAGTTGCGAACATAAACTCGCTTCTCTTTCCAATTTTCCCGTTCCACCTTAAATGGTGCAGCAGTTACATTCGCCGCCTAAGGCAGAATTTAAGGTGGAACGGGAAAATTAGAACGAGAAGCTGGCGAATGAGAAGCGACTTCAACCTCGTAAAACAGCCGGATGCTGAGACATTTTACAAGAAACTCTTCTAGTTTTGAAGAAAAGTTTTCTGGCGGAGATGGGAGGAAAGCAGCTGTAGCTAAAGCTTAAAGCAGAGCGAAGTAAGTCTGCGCTCTCGTTTATATTTTTAGCCCATACTAGGACATTAATACATACGAAGACATACTGGACATTAAATGTTGTGGCTCCTGAGGTGGTTTGACTCTGTTGAAAGGACAGAATGTCTCTTCTTATCATCTGTGTTGTGACTCCAGATCTAACCTGGCTTTAATGCAGAGGGAGCCGGTCGGATTTCTCACTCATCCTTTTGTGTTTTTGTTATGTGCCGCCACAGACTGTCCGGGCGCTGCACTTCCGCACTTCCAGTTCCGCCTTTTGCGTTCCGGCAACATTACTTTATAAATTAAATATTTAGAAAATCGATTTTTGACGTTTGTGAATCGATTCAGAATCGTTCACGTCCGCATCGCGATGCATCTAAGAATCGAGTTTTTCCCCACACCCCTAGCATTTTGTATCTTATTTTATTTACTACTATAAAATGTTTACATTTTACTGGCAAATAAAGCTTAATCCTGATTCTGATTCTAATTATCACGATCATCCAATGAGACCAATGATATCCTAGTATGTCTTATGGTATTCTTACTCTATAAACAAAGAACACGTTATGTAGTATGTGGTTCTTGCCTCACTTGGATCACACAAATATTGTCAAACTAACAAAGAGGCCATTAAATGAATTGTTGTCAAAAGTGTCCATCTTCTTCAAGTCAGAGTTCAGACCTTCCAGAGCTATAATACATCATATATCACTTCTGTCCAGTTACCAAGTACTGATGCCCTCCTACAACACACAACTGAATAAACTAAGCCTGGGTAGTACTTCTGGAAGAATTCTTTATCAAGTGGTTTGTGACCTACAGCAACCGTAAGATTTTCTTCCTCTGCTTTCTGTGTTTCCTTCTCTCAAAACCACAGGAGTGTTCTACAGTTACCGCAGCAATCCCCCCCCTCTTCACAGCGAGGTAAGCAAATGAATCAGCGCTCAGTTTCTCATTAAAAGCTATGCAAGACAAAAGGCTGTTGTTTCTGTTTGCAGCATGTTACACTAATGTTAATTTCTATGAGAATCATCTTCTGCCAAGCACAATAAGCTGCGAACAATAATTACTTCTGCTGACAATAAATTAAGTCTATGCCCATCATAAGCATAAACAAAACTCTGAAATGTCCCTATTATGAGCAGTTGCATAACTTGCCTTTTCAAATGGAAAAAAAATCCACACGTTAATAGGATCACATCTTGAGTCCTTCACAAGTTATGAGCTTTACTGTAAAAGTCACCCACTTGTCACCACGCAGCACTCTAAGGAAAAAAGCAGCTTAAAATCAGCCAAGCTCTTAAAGAAGCATCACACGGTTCTGCATAGACGGTCACATAAGCCATCTTTACTTGCACATGCTATTCATGATGAGATACTGAATGTTTGCAAGCTGCATGTGTCTTACTAAGGCTGTAACACAATGTATTGCAGTGTATCATATCGTTATATCGTGAATAGCATATTATAATGTTGAAAGCTCTAAAGTTAAAATGGAAACATTTTATGTGAGGCACATGCTCAAATCACTAGTCTTTTGTTTTGCTGTATCAAAAAAGTACAGAATCAAGATACCACTGTATTGTGTCGACCTAAATTCTCCATTTTCTGAAACATTACACGGCTAGTTCTTACCGTACTTCATGCTTGTGCATGTTGTCATAAATTCCAACAAAACATACTTTGTTTAGTGTATATTTCTCAGATTGGCAACTCAACTTCACTTTCGACCACCAACTGAATGTGTATTGTCCTATAAATACCTAGACACTAGACAGAGGTTATGATTAGCCACTCAAAGAAAGATTTCCATAAAATTCACCATCAATTCCTCCAAACCAACCTTTGAGGAATCTCAGAGCTCTGATTGTCTAAATGAACATGCACATGTTCAATAACCTGTAAACCTGGTGCTGTGGTGAAACATGTGTACTGCATCATTTTGCAAAGGGGAGTCATCGATAGCTCAGCAGTTCAAGTCAATGTGGAATGTAAGCTCCCTGTGGGGTGTTCAAGGTGGATGAAAGGATTTTGTGATATGTGAAGCACATAAATGTTTCTGACTCTCCAGTCAACCACATCAGGATTTTTATACAGATCCCCTCCCCAAACACACAGACATACAAACACAAGAAGGTAATGGTGCAGTTTTCAGCTCAATGTTAATTCCGTGCAGCTCCAAGGTTAATACGG